CCTGCACCCTTCCCAGGGTCAGACTAAATGACCTTTGGCTTCCCTTACGGCTCCAACTTCACAGCTCTATGACAGGCCTGCCCAAGCAACAGTCACCAACACCGGAGCGTAGCCATTTGACACACATCACAACGACATTATCTTCGTGCGGTGACGTTCGGCTGCCTGCAAGGTCTTCTCGCCCCAGAGATGTTAACGCATCTCTTAAAAACATCCGTGTTTTTCCTGACCGTTTTGAAGAGACACACTCACACGATGGCACGCATGAAAAAAAGACACAAACGTTATCCGCTGTGAGGACCAGCACAAGCCACGAAACATGTACAGGTGTACAGGTAGTCCTTGACTAATGACAATTTACAGTTAGAACAATTAACCAGTGGAACTCCTTGCCTCCATAAGTTGTGGGTGCTCCAACACTGGAAGTTTTCAAGAAGAGACTGGACAGCCATTTGTCTGAAATGGTCTAGGGTTTCCTGCCTGAGCAGGGGGTTGGACTAGATGACCTCCAAGGTCCCTTCTGAGTCTGTTATTCTTTTTTCCTTCCTTCCTTCCTTCCTTCCTTCCTTCCTTCCTTCCTTCCTTCCTTCCTTCCTTCCTTCCTTCCTTCCCTCCCTCCCTCCCTCCAACACTGGAAGTTTTCAAGAAGAGACAGGACAATCATTTGTCTGAAATGGTAACGGGCTTCCTGAGCAGGGGGTTGGACTAGATGACCTCCAAGGTCCCTTCCAACTTTATTATTATTATTATTATTATTATTATTATTATTATTTACGACAGTTCATTCAGTGATTGTTCAGGATTACAATGGTGCTGAAAAAAGCCACTGTTTTTCCACCCAGGACCATGGCAGCATGGCAACTGACTCATCATTACGACGGTCGCAGTGTCCCGGGGTCAGGTGATCCCCTTTGGCGACCTGCTGACAAGCAACGTCAAGGGGGAACCCGGATCCCCTTCACCACGATGCTACTAATGTAAAACCACTGCAGTGGTCCACTTAACCACCGTGGCAAGCAAGGTCGTAAAATGGGACAAAGCGTACTTAAGAGGTTGTGGCCGGAAACACAGGCAAAGACCGAGCTCTACCAATTCAGCCGAACTAAATACATCCGTGTGACCCATTTCCAACTCCAGGTACTGCCGAAAGTGAAGTGAAAAAGAAAAGAAAAAAAAAAAGGGAAGAGAGAAAATCTGGGCAGGAATAAATTGAATTACCGGCCCCCAGATTGCAATTTGGTCGATTTTAGCCTTGCCCAGCCCTGAAATACGACAGCTCAGAGTCTTTCCATATTCCAAAAGCATCCCAAGAGTACCAGGAGGAGAGGGGAAAAAAAACCCCATAAAAAACCAGACTCCTCGTAACTTGCATAACTGACCTGGTGCAACGGGCGGCGGTTGTGAGCTGCAGACTGCAGACCCTGATCTCACACAACCCAGCCGAGACACACAAAATTCGCCTTCAGCCCCGCCGTCTGTGCACAGCAAACAGGCCAGGAAATCAAGGGGTTTGGCTGCCCCAGAAGCAGGACCCAGAGAGAAGCTTCGGTGGGGAAGCCGGAAAGAAAATAGAACGGAATAATAGACAGTATATAAACAGAGGCATAGAATCAAAATCAGGGGAACTATTAGTAGCGCTTTGCAAAGCCTTAGTAAGGCCGCACCTGGAATGCGGCATCCAGTTTTGGTCGCCACGATGTAAAAAAGATGTTGAGACTCTAGAAAGAGTACAGAGAAGAGCAATAAAGAGGATTAGAGGACTGGAGGCTAAAACATACAAGGAAAGGTTGCTGGAATTGGGGATGTCTAGTTTAATAAAGGGAAGGATGAGGGGGGACATGATAGCAGCCTTCCAATATCTCAGGGGCTGCCCCAAAGAAGAGGCAGTCAAGCTATTCTCCAAAGCGCCTGAAGGCCGGACGAGAAGCCACGGATGGAAACTCATCAAGGAGAGAAGCAACCAGGAAGTAAGGAGAAAAGTCCTAACAGTGAAAATGATTAACCAGCGGAACGGCTTGCCACCGGAAGTTGTGGGTGCTCCCTCACTGGAGGCTTTTAAGAAGAGACTGGACAGCCATTTGTCTGGAATGGTATAGACTGAGTCTCCTGCTCAAGCAGGGGGTTGGACTAGATGACCTCCAAGGCCCCTTCCAGCTCTATTCTGATTGATGGAGAATACTTTATTTGGCCAAGGGTGATTGGACCCACAAGGATTTTGTGTCCGCTGCAAAAGCTCTAAAACAGGGCTCTTCAAACTTGGCCTTTTGATGACTTGTGGACTTCAACTCCCAGAATTCCTCAGCCAGGCACGCGTGCCTGGCTGAGGAATTCTGGGAGTTGAAGTCCACAAGTCATCAAAGGGCCAGGTTTGAAGACTCCTGCCCTAAAATGTGCCTGCAAAGCAACAGAGCAATAACAACCGTAATAATGGCGCCAATAAGAGGGGTTATTGAAGAACCGCTTTTTAATTCCAGTTGCCTGCGAGCATCTCGCCCACTTCCTGGAAACATCTGCTTCGGATGGAACTCCAGGTGGTCCCCGACTTACGACAGTTCGTTTCGTGACCCTTCGAAGTTGCAACAGCACCGAAACAACGGGCTTAGGACCGTTTTGCACGCTTGTGACCGTTGCAGCATCCCCTTCAAAATGGGACCCTTAGCAAACTGACTCACATTTATGACGGACGCCATGTCCCAGGGGGGAGGGGGTCACACGATAAGCAAAGTCAATGGGGAAACCGGATCCACTTAACGACCGTGTGACTCACTTAACAACTGCAGGGATTCCCTTAATAGCAGTGGTGGGAAAGGTCGTAAAATGGGGCAAAACCCACTTAACTGTCTCATTTAGCAACACAATTGTCATTGTAAGTCAAGAACTAACTGTTTCGAAGGGAGGAGGAGGGAGGGAGGCCCTATATATAAGTCTGCCTTGCAAATAAAATTAAAATCTAATCCCACCTTCCTCCCCCCGTGTATCCCTCCCACTCCTTTTTCCATCTTGCAGTGAGGCTTTCTTTTTCTCTGCTCTGTCATTTGACGTTCAGCGGTTTGATTATTTCCCCCCCCCCAATGTTTATTATGCTGTAAGCCACCCCAAGTCAGCTTTAAAAGGAGATGGGTGGTGGATAAATTTAATAAATATAATAAAATAAAAATAAAATAAAAATAATAATGAAAATAAATATGACATAAAATAAATATAACATAAAATACAATACAATAAAATAAATACAACACTAACACTAACACAATAATAATAAAAATAACAATAATGACAACGACAATCATAATAATAATAATAATAAAAAGTTGGAAGGGACCTTGGAGGTCATCTAGTCCAACCCTCTGCTCAGGCAGGAAATCTTATACCATTTCGGACAAATGACTCTCCAGTCTCTCCTTAAAAACTTCCAGTGTTGGAGAAGGAAGGAAGGAAGGAAGGAAGGAAGGAAGGAAGGAAGGAAGGAAGGAAGGAAGGAAGGAAGGAAGGGAAGGAAGGAAGGAAGGAAAAAAGAATAACAGAATAACAGTCTCGGAAAGGACCTTGGAGGTCATCTAGTCCAACCCCTGCTCAGGCAGGAAACCCTATACCATTTCGGACAAATGACTGTCCAGTTTCTTCTTAAAGACTTCCAGTGTTGGAGCCTTCACCGCTTCTGGAGGCAGGTTGTTCCACTGGTCAATTGTTCTAACTGTCAGGAAGTTTCTCCTTAGTTCTAGGTTGCTTCTCTCCTTGGTTAGTTTCCACCCGTTGCTCCTTGTCCTGCCTTCAGGGGCTCTGGAGAATAGCTTGACTCCCTCTTCTTTGTGGCAGTCCCTGAGATACTGGAAGGCTGCTATCCTGTCCCCCAGCGTCCTTCTCTTCGTTAAACTAGACATACCCAATTCTAGCAACCGTTCCTTACATGCTTTAGCCTCCAGTCCCCTAATCATCTTTGTTGCTCTTCTCTGCACTCTTTCTAGAGTCTCCACATCTTTTTTTACACCATGACCAAAACTAAAATGGTGGCCACATCCATGCCATAGAAGCACTGCTTTTGGGACAAAGGAGATAAGGTTAATAGCCATAGCAATAGCACTTAGACTTATATACCACTTCACAGTGCTTGACAATTAATATGATATGATATATGATATATATGATATATATGATGTATGATATAATTACAGTCACCCAGACCTCAGAAAGGCAGAAGGGAAAAGACCCCTAACACAAGTACAAGATGAACATAGTGGGGGTGAACCCCTACAGCAGCAGCAACCTCCCCCCATGCAAGGTCAGCCAGCCCAGAACAGCAAGAATACCCCCATCCCCTCCATTTCAGGAGGCCCACTCGTAATGAGGTCACTTGAAGACCTCACGGCTGCATTCACACAACAAGCTAACCCGAGTAATGATTGGTGTGTGTTTACGCGGCCCCCGGCAAAGCCATCCTGTGGGGCCCAGCCACAGCTCAGCCTGTTGCCCAACACCAGACGTCAAAACCACAAAGACAGGCCCCAAGCAAGGCACAAGGTCCCCTTCCCTAGGCGCACACAACACCCCTGCAAGGTTGACCAGGTGGTGAAAGGGAAAGGGAGGGAGGGAGGGGGGGAAGGACCCCAGCCAGCTCGTTTGTGACCCATTAGTCTTCTTCACATGATGTGCTCAATCCAGTTCTTGCCTTCCCCCCTTTTGCAGACACCCCCAAAAGCAGGAGTGTCCAACCTGGGTCACTTTAAAGAGCTGTGGACTTCAACTCCCAGAATTCCCCAGCCAGCGAGACCGGGAATTCTGGGAATTGAAGTCCAGAAGTCTTAAAGCAGCCAAGGATGGGCGCCCCCCCCCCACCACCCGGCTCTAAACCAAGCAAAGGCTGTTCAGCTTTATTAACCAGGTTAGCACAAACCATTCTTCCGGAGCCCACTGAATGGAAGCTTTCCCGGAGCTGGCTACCAGCCAGGCCTCCGACCACCACTCCCATGGTCCCCAGCCGCGCACCTGCCGGCCCCCCTTACCTGGCGGAGCTGTCTTCGGAAGCGCCGGAGGCATCAAGGCGAAGGCGAAGGCTCCTCCGGGCGAGCGGCCAGCGGCGGCGGCGGCGGCATCCCCGGGGCTGAGGCTCCCAGCTGCGGGGAAGGGAAAGCCGCCCAAACGCGGCAGCTCCGAGGTGGGGGGCGGGAGGGGGTCCGACTAGATGACCTCGGGGGGGAGCGTCCCTTCCAACCCGCCGCCAGGAACCTCCTGCGGGCCTGCCGGGTTCAGCCTCGCGACGTGGCCTCCAGCCCCACGCCGTCCGGGAAAGGCCGGACGGCTCCTTTGCCCATCGGTCGCGCAGCCGCCGCCCCCCGCCTCCTCTTCCCGCCGCCGGGTCTGCGGATCGTCCCCGACCTGGGTGCTTCTCCCCTCCGGCGAGGCCGAAGCCGCCGGCCGCTCCTGCCGCCCGTCCGCCGCCGGAGAGCGAGGCGCCGCTCAGCCGCCCGGTCAGCGTCCGACCGACCCAGCGCCCGACCGACCCCCGCCTCGGGAATTGCCCCACTTCCCCGCCGCCGGCCCCGCCCCGCCCGCCTGCGATTGGAGGAGCAGGGCCCGCCCACGACACGCCCCCTCCCCGCCTCCGCCTCCACCCCTACCCAGAGGGCCGAGGAGGGGGGGGCGGCGGGGGCGTCTCAGCTGCTGCCACCGGTTGCGCAAGGCGGGCTGGCCGAAGGAGCCGGCGCCTGGACTACAGCGCCCATCGTCCGCAGCAGGGGGCGGGGAAGGGGGGGGTCCCTGTGAGTGGGGGTAGGGGGGGCGATTTCTCCCTGCTCCTCCCCCACCCCACGGGGGAAGGGGCGACGCGAGACTTGCCTGGCACGGGCTAGGAGCCGGGAGGGTCCGCTCCGCAAGAGTTTCCGGCTGAAGAATGAGTCTGTGTGTGTGTGTGTATTTCTGTGTCTGTATGTGTTTGTATGTGTCTGTGTGTGTTTGTATGTGTCTATGTCTTTGTACGTGTGTGTGTGTGTGTTTCTGTGTCTGTATGTGTCTGTGTGTGTTTGTATGTGTCGATGTCTTTGTACGTGTGTGTGTGTGTGTGTGTGTTTCTGTGTCTGTATGTGTTTGTATGTGTCTGTGTGTGTTTGTATGTGTCTATGTCTTTGTACGTGTGTGTGTGTGTGTGCGCGCGCGCGCCCGCACCGCCTTCTGGAGTTTGCACAATCCCAAAAAGCGCTTCCTGGCACCCGAGAGGCGGATCCGCTTTTAAGCAGCAAAGTTTGGGGCAGCCCCTGAGATACTGGAAGACTGCTATCCTGTCCCCCCTTGTCCTTCTCTTTGTTAAACTAGACATCCCCAATTCCAGCAACCTTTCCTTGTATGTTTTAGCTCCAGCCCTCTAATCAGCTTAAATTACAAGGAAGTAGATTCCAGTTGGATCGTGGGAAGGTCTTGGGGAGATCCCCGGAGAGGGAGCTGGCTCTCCTTGCCAGAAGGATGGAAGGAGAAACTAGATGGGCCTCTGCCAGGATTGGATGGCTGCCCTGGCAAAGGGTCAGACTAGATGGTCTCTGGCACCTTCGTCTGGCAGAGCAGCCAAGCCAGAAGAATGGAGGAAATGCCGTACACAAATCCACACTCACAAAACTCATCTATGAAGGATTGACCTTCAGACCATAAACAGGGAACCGATGGCCTCTGACCTTGGAGTTTTTCTATTTATTTATTTATTTATTTATTTATATTTTTATTTTTTACTTTTTGACGATGGCTCCAAGCTTTCACGACAGGCAGTCCTTGACGGACAACCGTTCGTTTTTTTATTTTATTTTTTTATAGAAATGTTTTATTGATTTTTTTACAATAAAAATCCTTAGTGCCTAGTGTGTTGTCTTGCTTCATATATTTTGAAGAAAAAAAAACAATCCATAGTAGTTAATTAACAGTCAATGATAATTAGTTTTTGTAAATTCCATAATTAGTACATTAATTAATAGTATATTTCTTTGATCTTCCCTTCTCCCAATAATATTCTCCTTTTTCAGCCTTAAACCAATCTCGTTCTTAATATTTTCAAGGCATAAATGGTTAAATATAAACATTTTTTCCCCAGGTTTGTACAAATAATAATAACGTCCATGTAGGACATGTTTTCTTATCAACTTGGGTTGTTTTTCTAAAAATCATCTCATTAGTTCACCATATATATCCCATTCCCATAGTTCTTATTTAAGCTTAGTTTCCCCTTAATATTCAAACAATTCTTATCAGTCATAATTTGCTCCATATTAATCCTCTAAACATCCAAATTTTCCGTTCGTTTACTGACCATCTGCAGTTACAAAAATATTATTTATGACACCTTTTTCATACTCGTGACTGTGGCCGCCTCCCGGGATCACGTGATCAAAACTTGGACGCTGGGCAACTGACTCACACTTATGATGGTTGCACCAGGTCCCTGGAGGGGGTCACGTGATCCCCCCTTTTTTTGAAAAAAATGTTATTAATTTTCTAATTTTACATTTAAATATTTGAAAAGCAACGTGGCGGCTGAGTTGGTCAATAATTGAATAACATACAAATATGTTTAGTATTTTATTCTATTCTATTCTTCTATATTTATTCTGTTCTATTCTTCTATGTTCTATTCCATTCTATTCTTCTATATTTATTCTACTCTATTCTATTCTTCTATATTCTGTTCTGTTTTATTCTATTCTATATTTATTCTGTTCTGTTATGTTCTATGCTATTCTTCTATATTCTATTCTATTCTGTTCTATTCTTCTATATTTATTCTGTTCTGTTCTGTTTTATTCTATTCTATTCTATATTATTCTATTCTATATTTATTCTGTTCTGTTATGTTCTATTATATTCTTCTATATTTATTCTATTCTAATCTATTCTATTCCTATTTCTTATTCTATTTATTCTATTCTTCTATATTTATTCTATTCTATTCTATTCTTCTATATTTATTCTATTCTATTCTATTCTATTCTTCTATATTTATTCTATTCTATTCTATTCTATTCTATTCTTCTATATTTATTCTATTCTATTCTATTCTATTCTATTCTTCTATATTTATTCTATTCTATTCTATTCTATTCTATTCTATTCCTATTTCTTATCCTATGCTATGCTATGCTATGCTTGTATGTCAGGGACTACTTATATTAAATATTCCTCATCCTCTACTTAAACTTTCCAATACAGGAGCAACTGAGAGGGATGTATCCATGGATTTGGGGGTCTCCCTCCCAGGATTGTTGATTGGGCGTCCCATTTTAGCAAAAGGACCATTCCTCAAGTTCAGGATTAACCCACCTTGACCCAGCTACAGATCCTTCTCTAAAGAGTTCATGCAACTTTGCAACTCTAACCAGCCTCAGGTGTCCTCACACACACACACACACACGCCCTCTTGGAGTGAATTGGATGCTGGTGGTGAACCTCTGTTGCTTCCATCATGCAAAGTATTAAATTAAAGAACGGGAAACCAAGGCAATTAAAACCCCATCCGTGATTTACTCCGCTTTCTCCTTTCAGCACTCCTGCGGAGATAACTGGCGGGAGGAAACCGGAGGAGCCCACGTTATATTAAATTAAACAATTCCTGCCTCTCCCCAGCAGAGAAATGAAGAAAATAAAATAAAATAAAATTGTGGTGTCAAGATTCCCAACTTCTGGTTTTTCGGCAGACGATCCGCTTTGTGCTCAGTGCTTTGATGAATCCACTAATGAGCTGCACCGTTATAAAAGACGCCTTAGATACGCCAGAGATGCCGTTTTCCAGTCCTGCATGAAAAGAAGCTGAATTCTCCCACTGCCAGCACCAGCAGAAACACATCTGGGAGCTCAACAGATTGGGGAGCAATTTTTAAGCATCAAAATTCAACGTCCAGGTTGTGGGTTGGTTTTTTTTTTTTCCTTTGAAAGGCCCAAATGCTTTAAATGGAAGAGTGTAATTAAGGAAGGAAATGGAAACAACAAGGCAAGATTTTGCTGCAGGGAAGAAAAAAGAATAAAAAAGAACAGAACGACAAGAGTTGGAAGGGGCCTTTGGAGGTCATCTAGTCCAACCCCCTGCGTGAGCAGGAGACCCTGTTCCATTTCAGACAAACGGTTGTCAGAAAAAAAGACACCAATCAAAGCTCCACATCGGGTTGTTCTTCGTCGTCGTCGTCATCATTATCATCATTATTCAGATTTTTATCCCGCCTTTATAGGTAGTCCTTGACCTACAACAGTTTGTTTAGTGACTGAAGTTACAACAGCACGGAAAACGGCGGCTTTAAGTCCGTTTTTCACACTTATGACCATTGCAGCATTCCCCGCGCCATGTCATCAACATTTGGATGCTTGGCAACTGACTTGTACTTATGACGGTTGCAGTGTCCTGCGGGGGAGGGGTGTCACTTTAGGGATTCACTGAACTACTGTGGCTGGGATGGTCATAAAATGGGGCAAACCTCACTTAAGAACTGTCCCATTTATCAACAGAAATTTTGGGCTGAATTTTGCTCGTAGTTCAAGGCAGCGAACATATCTAAAGCTGCTTCCTCCTCCTAGTTTCCCCATAACATCAACCCTTTGAGGTAGGCTGGGCTGAGAGAGAGGGACTTTCCTCTTCAGAACCTATCAATGTAATAATAATAATAATAATAATGATGATGATGATGATGATGATAATAACAACAATACTACTACTACTACTACTAATAATAATAATAATAAAGTTGGAAGGGACCTTGGAGGTCATCTAGTCCAACCCCCTGCTCAGGCAGGAAACCCTACACCATTTCGGACAAATGACTGTCCAGTCTCTTCTTAAAAACTTATTTCAGTTAATTTCTATAGCTGCTACCCGGTGAATCCGGGTAGCTTTCCATACCCCAATTGCCAAGCCATCAGAATCAAAAACCAATCAATTATAAATAAAACAGTAAAAAAAAAGTCTAGAAAATGAATAGAAGAGAATAAAGTCTTCAGAATATCCTCGGAATGTGGGCAGATCTGTGATCCGTCGCCCTTTTTAGGCAGCGTTTCTGCTTTCTTGGAAAAGGATGCTCTTTGTGCAAATGTTCATCCTCTTTTTGTAATGCAAGCAGTTCCTAGTTTAGAAAAAGGACACTGAAGCCCGTTCTCAGCTCAGTGCTGGGACCTTTTGACTGCTCTGATTGTCTTTTTGGGTTTGTTTGTTTTTTCAGAAATGAGACATAAGCTGCATCCTAAAAACTCTTCCATGTTAATTTTGTTTCATAAGATTTATTGTTATTATAATATATATTTCTGGGTTGGGAACTGACAGAAAAATAACAGAAATGCAGAAAAAAGTCATTGTTACAAGGCTAGAAAGGATATTAAGCCTGCATTAACTGCATAACGGTCTAAATAATTCAACTCTCATTCTATGTTTGAATAAGCACAATATTGTTGGGAGTCCCATTGGAAGATTTATTTAGAAATTTGGCTTATTTGTACAGAATAGAATAGAATAGAATAGAATAGAATAGAATAGAATAGAATAGAATAG